AGGGATTTCGATCGGATCATTGGGGGGGCACGTGCCACTCCACTGGCTTCGCCAGTGGACACAGCCAATTAATAAGGGTTATCACGTAAACAAAACGTGCACATTCGTTGCTGCTTCAGCACACCGGTGTGTTGGAGAGTAATTCCACAACATTTGTAATTGAGTACGACATTTCACTGGTGATTACAACCAGCTGCATCAGGTGATTTGCCAGATTTGTGAAGAAGTCTTCGTGTTTCCAGTCTTAAATAGAGTAACGTGATGTATTTATGTTTTAAATTATCACCCCACGCATCTATTTTCCCTACATTTGCCGGTGATAACGTGCGTACACGACATTCATCGATACGCACTTCTTAATATATGTAAAGTTTTTAAAAGTCCATCCAGTGCATTATTTATACACCAATAACGCACATTGGCCGTGCGCAGCATGTAATCAACGATCACGCATAGCTTTGCGAAACTGAAAAGCCTCCTGAGATGCCACATGACCAGGAGATGGCAGGACAGCATTCAATTTGCTCTGTTATATCTGTCGTGACTGAGAATGTCAGTGTGTGGTGCCGGGCCTGCGAGGCCACGGCGGGTTGTCTACTGTTGTGTGTACACCCCGGACACGGGGTGTAGTACCAGCCCTAGTGGGGGCTTGGGTGAGCGCTGGTTCAGCGCGGTGGCACCACGCACAGCGTGCGGTGCGGGTTCCCGTCGAGAGAGCGAGAGATTGTCAGCCAGCTAGGGTTACGTTGGGGGCACGATACTCTGGCTGACCTGGGGACATGTGACCGGATTATACTGGAGGGGGGTTCACCGGTGGAGGGGGCCAATGGGTGGTCACGTGGCCCGAGAAGAGCTTCCGAGAGCCTTCGGGCAAGGGCGAGAGAGACCGAGAAGGTGGGTGGGGCGAGAGGCGGAGCCAGCCCCAGCCCGGCCCGATATAAGGAAGGCCCTGTGAGGGGCTCGGGGTTCTTACTGTTGGAGAGGCGGGAGATCCACGTCAAGCTTGAAGAAGCCTCCAGCCACGCGGTCCGGGACCCAGCTTGTGGTCCGTACCGAGATAGTGGAACCGTGTCTAGTTCTGCTGTAGCGTGGTTAGTTGGGTGGTTACCATCCGAGAGTATGTTGTGTCAATAGCTTGGAGTATGTTGTGTTAATAGCCCTGAAGTATGTTGTGTTAATAGCCTGGAGTTTGTTGTGCTAAGAGTGTAATAAAGCGTGTTGCTCCCAAGACAACGTCTGCGACTCAGTTGGGATCTTTTTTTTCTGCCAGTATTGAAACGATGAAAAGTGTTATTGCTAGTGGTTCCCACCAAGTGTCTCTGTAGGGTGTGGATAGATGTGTAAAAACAGCAATAATAGTATGCGCTAAACAATGAGGGTCTAAAATGTGTATACGTTTATTAAGGACAAGAAGAGGTTTTGTGACAGAATACACATTACATGATAAGAATATGTTCGTGGCTGAAGAATTTTAAAAGCTACACTTTGGGATGTGTTTAAAACGAACAATAATTATTCACAATCAGAATCAGCAATAATCAGAATCACCATCTTTATTTAGACTGCAGGAATCCGATTAGCTATGAAGCTCTTTTTCGCAGATGTCCAGTGTGTGCAGGTCAGCAAGTGCATGTACAGTATACGGTATTGGGGGGTCTCCTCATATTTTACTTGTGGTGTCTTGGTCTGGCTCTGAGGGTGTCAATCAGACATGAATCTCATTGAATGTTTTCAAAATCACTTAGAACCAAGATGGCTTGTCACTTGAAAAAGGCGCCATACTCCAAGCTGCATTCCGGTCAAGGAGCTTACAGATCTCTAGCAAGCTCGACACCCAGTCTCCCAGGTAAGGCCGCAGTGTGCACTTTCACCTGGGCCAACACCAGAACCAGTCGTGGCATCAAGGGGGCCGATGCCAAATCGAGTTGTCCATTTTCATACTGACCAGAGGATCGGTGCGGTGGCATGACCAAGTGGGTGCCACGCTTCGCTGCCTGGAACCATTTGAAAGGTTGCGAGTTCAAAATCTTGGTTGGGGATTAACCCTGGCCCATCATTCTCCTGGGGTCAATACAGTAGGTACCGCTTTGTGGGGAAGTCAACAGTGGCTATCCTTTGGATACATTTGCTCAAGCAATAGGAATATGGAGTTTCCACCACTGGCTCAGTGCTGTTAACAGGACATGAGCACTGTCTTAATGTTCACTTCAGCAGTGACTCACTTAGACCTTTGAAATAATCATAGGCGGAGTTTAACTCCTATACTGGGGGAGGCAGGGGTTCGCTTTGTCCCTCAGATGATGAATCGCAGGTGCAAGTAATTAATGTTTTGCATCTTCATTGTAAACTACTGAAAATACATTTATAAAGGTGTCAAGTTCTGGAGGGGCATTGCTCCCCCCTCCCCACCAAACTCTGCCCATGCATTTAATTTGTATATTAAAGCATTGTATAAATCACCCACTGCATGTTTTAATTGTTGCACTCCGACACTTTCTAGTATGCAAAGAAGTCGTGTGACATGTTTACAATGACATTGGCACACACTGTTAACGTATCTCTCTGAAATGTTTAAACATTTTGTTTTCTCCTTTAAGAAATCCCAAAAATCACAGACACCGTGGAAAATAACGAAAATGCGTTTTTGCAAAGAAATAAATGTAATCTCATTGAAGAACTCATGAAGATTCCAGACGAGGTTTTAAATGAAGTAGAGTCATTGAATATAATAACAAAGCGCGAATACAGAGACCTGAAGAGTGTGACGAAGCCGAGCCAGCGCATCAATCAACTTATTGACAAAATCAGCGGAAAAGCAAACGATCAGATTAAGCAATTTGTCAATGTTGCTTTGAATAATTTACAAAGGAGATTTCCTCAGCATGCAATTCCTCGGTATAGACGAGGCGAAATCGTTCTTGGACACACCTACGGTATGTCACCATCGACGACGTAACAACAGTTTGAAAACCTGCCATATATGTAATTTTACAAATGTCCAAGCAATGTGTTTATTAACTCGTCACTCATGACCAAACTTCGAAGGAAAGTGGTGCGTACAACGAAACGGACTCTCGTGGTGATATCAAGGGAGAAAAAAATTACTTGTTATGGTTTATTGCCATATAGGGTTAGTTCCAGCTGCCACTGAAATTCAAATCTACCAAATTTCTGGGAAGCTAAACTGGGACACGTGGTGAGCTGACAGCCCCTCCCCCCCCCTCCATAAGCCCCGCCTACGTTTCAAGAGCCACGCCCACTATGCCTCTTGCCCCACCCACTGCGAGCATCGAATCCCCGCACACTGGTCATAGGGCCCCACCCACTACCCAGGTAACTGTCAACATATAAATGCGTCGTTAAACCCGTCACCACCCGACAGTCAATTCGTAAGGTTTGTCACGTTGACAAAAAAAAAACATGCCAATTCGTTACTAGTTCAGCCCACTCGGTGTGTCGGAGAGTTAAACCCAAAACATTTACAATTCAAGTACGACTTTTCGCGAGTAATTACAACCAGCATCATCAGGCTGTCCGCCTTAACGGCACTTTTAAATTTACGCGATCTAACCCAAAACACCTCTATTATGGATAATATTGGTCGCGAAAGCTCTACTACAACGATAACTAGGTGTTAAACTGCTCAGGTAACTCATATTCTATTGGGTCTTTCGGTAAAGTCACGTAGATAGGTTCAAAGAAAATAACAAAAAAACTATGACGTTACGATCGCAACACAAGCGGTCGTCATCAGGAAGAGGGGGTTAGCCTCTAAAGGCAAACTGTTGATAAAGGTTTGAAATGGGCATAGCCCAAATGTCAGCAGCATGGGCGGGGCAGCTAATGTTAATGTAGGTGGTGGGCGGGGCAGCTAATGTTAATGTAGGTGGTGGGCGGGGCAGCTAATGTTAATGTAGGTGGTGGGCGGCGACCGCGACGGTGGTGAGTTTTCTACCAATTGAAAAATTAGCATGTTAATGTAAGATCGGTGAGCGGCCTCCACAGCGAACGCGCTGAGGTGGCTATGTTAATGTGAGATATTAGCATGTTAATGTGAGAGATTAGTATGTTAATGTGAGAGATTAGCATGTTAATGTGAGATCAGTGAGCAGCCTCCATGGCAAGCGCGTTGAGGTGGCTATGTTAATGTGAGAGATTAGCATGTTGATGTGAGAGATTAGCATGTTGATGGGAGATCGCAGAGCCGCAACCTCTAGGTCAGCACAACAGCCGCAACCTGGAGGTCGGCGCACGAAGGTGGCTGTGTAAGTGTGAGATATTTTACCTGTTAGTGTAAAATCGGAGAGCCGAAAGATCGAAACGTCGTAGTTTTTTGTTATTTTCTTTGAACCTTTCTACGTGACTTTACCGAAAGACCCAAAATAATATGAATTCCTGCAGTCAAGACTTATCCAGGTAACTACCCGCTACTCAGGTAACACCGCCCACTACTCACGTAGCCCCGCCTACTAACTAGATAGCCCCGCCCACTACTTGGGTAGTCCCACCCACTACTCGGATAACCCACGCCCACCACTTGGGTAGCCACACCCACTACCAGGATAGGCCCCGCCCACTACTTGGGTACCCCCCCCCACAATTCTGGTAACCACGCCCATTACTCGAGTAGCCCCGCCCACTATTCAGAGAGCCCTGAGAATATGTATTCTTGGTTCTTTCGGTAAAGTCACGTAGAAGGGAAACAATAAAATAATAAAAATATAAACAATAAAAATGTTCACGACGTTTCGACTGCAACACAAGCAATCATCATCAGGTGTGAAAACTTTTTTCAAATTTTCTTGCTGTGGTTTTCACACCTGATGATGATTGCTTGTGTTGCAGTCGAAACGTCGTGAAAATTGTATTGTTTTATATTTTTATTATTTTATTGTTTCCCTTCTACGTGACTTTACCGAAAGAACCAAGAATATGAATCCCGGCAGTCACGAAAGCTTTAAATCAAAATTTAGCCCTGAGAATGTTTCAGGTAGCGCGAATTGACTGGTTAAGAAAATGAAATGAGAATGTAGCGTTTTAAATTTTAAATAACTCAACCTAGCATGTTATATTTGCGAAGTGAATGTGACGTGATGCTCATAATGTCCAAATGATGAATGCTGTATTTGCAGAGAATGCTCAAAGACTAAAACAGATTTTGGAATACGCTTACAATAAGACTGACTATCGAAGAGAATGCCACAGTGAGATGATAATGGACACACAAGCCGTCTATATGGATTTGACTTTGTGCGAAAAAGCACATGATGGTTCAGGCAACGGGATGAATTACTCGAACGTGGAAGAGTTTGTACGTGACAATACGAGTAGACTGACCATCATTCTCGGGGAAGCTGGCGCAGGGAAGACTACAAATTGCAAACAAATTGCCGTCACGTGGGCAGAGGGAAGGTTGGAAGAGTATCAATTGGTTATACACCTCAATCTCCGTGAAATTTCTAAAGGCGAGACTCTTGGATGCACGATCAGGAAACAGCTCCTTCCAATAAAACAAGAGCTCACGGAAGATGAGATAATTCAAGCTATAGAATCGGTTGAAGAGAAGACACTGTTTATTTTGGATGGGTATGATGAGTACCCACACATGGAGAAACAATCAGCAGAAGGCAACATTTCTAATCTCATCAGGCAAAATTACCTTCCTAAAAGCCGCATTATCCTCAACTCGAGGCCATGGAGAGTCCGTGACGTTGAATTGTTTGCAGAGAAGAAGATTCATGTGGATAGTTTGAGTCGTGACGATTCACAGCTGCTGATTGTAAAAGTTATGTCGACATCTTCTCTCGACATTGACAATGCCAAGAAACAGATCAACCACTATCTGTGTCAAGACCTCTTAGACGAGCTAATCAAAAGGCCTTTCAATGCAACATTGTTAGGTCTAATCCTGAAAGATGAAGATCATGATCTTTCCGAGAGGAAACCACAGACCAATGCCTATGACTTAATGATAAGTCACAAGATTCAACAGTACATTCAAAAGTATAACCTCTCTCTTTCCAATAAGGAGCAACAGGAGCTCTGCAATGATATTGGAAAAATTGCATTCAAAGGTATTTTGGAAAAAAGACAAAAATTCAACAGAGATGATTTTAAGGATGTGAATATTGATCATTCACTGAAACTCGATCTAATACGAGAAGAAGGGAATCCATTTAATAAACAGGAACAAAAATACTCCATTATTAGCTGCGAGTATCTTGCCGGCAGGTACCTTGATAATGTTTTGTCTTCTGACCGAAATGTTGCTAAATCAACAGAAAGGAAAATCCAATCTCTTATTTCCCAGGAAAATGTGACAGAAAATAAAAAACTACTCCTCTTCGCCAGTGCCTCCGATAAAGCCTTGAAAGTAATTTTGGAGAAGCTACTTCGCGTATTAAAACATGAGCACGAGGGGACAAAGAAGACCGAAATTCTGCTCTTCTGTTGCCAAGTTATCTACGAGTCTCAGTCAAAGGGGAAAATGAGGGCATTGTGCCAGAAGATTTTCAATAAGCAAAAGCTACAGCTTACTTATGGGCACCTCAATAGCGAATTGATTCGGGCCATGTGGTACATGCTGACCCACATTCCAGAATGCGTGAAGTGCCTGCACGAAGTAACGTTAGACCTCACCGAAGATGTCCCTCTTGCCGACGACCAGAAAATTGTGAAAATATCTAAGGAAGTAACGGAGAAATTGTCCGACTGTAAACACATCACTGTCCTCAAAGTCACTGAAGATGGGGAAACTAAATTCAACATTCTTCACGATAAGTTTATTGAAAATGGTACGGTGATAGACTATGATTCAACAACGATTCGCAAGGGGCAGGAATGCTTCATGACAAATAACCTGCTTCTCAACATGAAGGAATACGAAAAACTGTGCAATAAAGTTGGAAAAACCACATTGCAACGTTTTATAAAACATGGCACCACAGGCCCATTCTTTAAAGACGATTTTAAAAACGTCAAAATTGATCATGCAATACAACTGAATATAATAGACGAAAGCCAGCAAGGTAGTGGAACTGAAAAATATTCGACTACCAATCCAGAAAGTCTCATGGGTGGGTATCTTAAACATGTCCTGACATCTGGAGGATTTTTTAGGAAAAGATGGGCAAGAAGCAAACTGAAGTCCCTTGTCCCACAGGGAAATTCGAAGCAAAATGAAAAGCTTCTACTTTTTGCCAGTTCCTCCTCAGTCACTGTTTCAAAGGTCATCCTGGAGTACCTTCTCATTGCATTAAAAGGGGAAAAAATGGTCCTGATGAAGTCCGAAATCATTCTCTTCTGCTGCAAGATTATCCGTGAGTCTCAGTCAAAAGACAAACTGAAGAATACGTGCAAGGACATTTTTAGTCAACAAAATCTAATGCTTACCTGTCGCCACTTAACTGATCATGCGATCTTAAAAGATCTACACTATGTACTGAATCACGTTCCAGAATGCGTGAAGTGTCTGCAGGAGGTAACAGTGGACCTCAATGTAGGAGTCGCTCCCGTGAATGATCAGGACATAATCGCGCTGTCACAAGCCGTGACTGGATGTCTGGCCGAATGCAAAAGCATAACTATTATTCCGTCACGTGAAGAGAGAGGAAGTGAAATGGGGAACATTTTTCACACGGAGTTTAAAAACAAAGGTACAGTATACGAATGCAGTAATACACATACAATAATTTATGTTGACAACAATAGTGGTATTATACAGCCCCTTGTCAATCCACTGCAGGATGAAAGCCTCTCCACTCTGTGCAGTCTTAAGGACTGCTTAACCATACGACACCATGCTGGTCAGTGGGTGAAGCTTAATAAAAGCCATGCACCTGGGTCCATATGGCAGTTCACAAACCACAGTGCTACCACTCCACCCCTGTATACATTGACAATAGAACACCAATATTTCGCACTCCAACGATCCGCAAATCCTAAAATCCATGGCGCCCCTACGGTTAGCAGCGACTCCCGTAATCCGTGGGGGGCAGAGATCCTGAAATCTGCAATTTTACCACGTATGTATTTTTTTGGATACCATTCGGGAGTGGCTAATTCCTCCCATAAATATGCGCCACGGATTTTCATTTTTTTAAGCGCTGCGCTCCTCAAAGACGCCGGGCCGACTTCTTCGTCTTGTGCAGCGGTGACTCTTTCAAAGCTTCAAACGAGCCGCCCTCGAGGCTTTAATATCAAAAGAAAGGCACTCTCTTCATAGAGCCCTGCACAGAGACAGAGAACGAGATTTTCAGACTAATCTCTCTTAGCATTGCCAGGCTCCGGGAAGGCGAATATTGTTGCTTTTTCTGTCAATGCAACACGGGCTCTGTGTCTTGAGAGAGACGTAGCTGCTAAGGAACAAACAGAGCTGTTATAGGGACAAGCGAAACTGCAGAGAGACGAATCGTGGTACACTTGAAATCACATTTACATTTTATTTTGCTTAATGTCAGACTGTACTGACATGATCTGTTGAGTCGTAATATATGTTTCCATCCTTTTGACTCCCATGTCAACTCCCAAAAATGCTACATTTCTTTTCACGTAGACCCATATGGCACATTTATACATTTGGCTCTCAGGAAACGATGCGAAATTCATATATTTTTTGCTGATTAATGAATTCGCAAAAGTCACGTTTTGCACTTAACCCCGATATCCGTGATTTCAGAGGGGATGAATAGAGTCGTACGGCAGATTCCCGCTCTGCACACTGCCCCGGCAACCTGAGTTTAGTTCTGGGCCACGGTCAATATTAGTGACGACGTCCTGGTATGACATTTTAATGACACATTTCAGGATTAACCTTTGCGGTACAGCACAGATTATAGGATCCGCAAGTAAATTCCCGCATATTATTGTGGGCTGTCTGAGTTCTGCTGTACTTTGCAGTTAAGGTGAAAACCTTACCCCCTCCCAACCTGGAAATTCAATGAATTTCACCTCCGATTAGCACGGTCGGCTACATACGGTGCAAAAGAAGTTCAACATAGATACATGTTTGATGACGACTTGACACACTTCTCTTGAGATGGCACTTCATTGAAGACACGTTCACTTGACATCAGGCGGAGACTCCACTGCAGCAGCCCAGAGTCTCCTGCGCATCTCCCTTTTATTTAGCAACACGAGGCCACGCCCCCCTTCCCGAACCTTCTCACTGACTCTGGACGCCCGCTCCACCAACAGACTCCACTGTCCTCTTCCGTCACCTGACCATGCTCCCTTCTCGATCATTCCCAGAGCTACAAGTCCCTTCGTACTCACAGCTGACTCTCCCGTCATTACCTCCCGTGGCCACTAGTCGACTCACACCACATATAGATTCTACTGTCATTACACGTGCATTGTCATAAACACTGTATGATTCATTTTTGTCATCTATGTAGCCAACGCTGTGGTCACAGTGATGTAGGGGTCGCATGCACCTGCAACGTACACATCAAAAATATATATTCTTACACACAATTCGAAGCATGCATGTTGATTTATTTAACCAAGTGAGAACTCAAAGAGACAGGGATAGTCTAATTTGCTTGAGTGAACCGGGTCACCAAAAATGGTAAAATAAAATGAACTGTATATAATGTGCATATACGTACAGTACTGCAGTGTGTATACAGAACACAAAATGATCATTGGCGTCATTCTGGAGAAATTATTGAGTGGTGGTGCAGTGGTTAGCAGACTGGGCTATGGAGTCGGCAACCTGAGTTTGATTCCTGGCCATGGCTGACATGATTGGCGAGTTAGATCTGAACCAGTCCTCAGCCCACACCCCCTACCTCCTCCAACCCGTCACTGACCAGTGTGGTGAAGTATGGTCAAACAACCCCCCATGGCTGAGACAGTGTGGGAAGGCCCTCCTCCAGCACTGAATGATATAATATAAAAAAACACACATTATATAATATTGTATATACATTACATTGATATGAAAGTACTTTGGCGATTGTAGACTATAAAGACAAAATAATGTTGATGTAAAATGTTACCACATTCTCTGATCCACATTGTCATTCCACCACTGTGGAATTGCCCACATATGCGGTAGGTTTAATGTTACGCTTTTGGCCCAATTCAAATATAACATTGGCCATAAACAAATACAACTGCATTCATGTTAAAACTTCTCAAAACTCAGCAAAATATGCTATATTATGCTTTGAAGGTGATACAGGTCCTTCTTTGGAACGAGGGCCAGATGAAACAAGATCAGGTAAGACTGTGGAATGAGTTTAACACGTAGGCATTCACGACCAATATTAACCATAATCGAGGATGCTGGGTTAGATCGCGTAAATGTGTATCGTTAAACTCAATACCACCCGACACAGCCAACCAGTAAAGTCTGTCACGTAAACACAACATGCCAATTATTGACTAGTACAGCACACCGATGTGTTGGAGAGAATTGTAAATATTATGGGTTTACTCTCCAACACACCGATGTTGCTGTACTAGTAACGAATTGGCGTGTTCTGTTTACATGACAAACCTTACTAATTGGCTGTCGGGTGGTGGCGGGTTTAACCGCACATTTATATTTACGCGCTCTAACTGTGGACTGACCTGCATGCTTCTAAAAATCAGCACTTCTCTAAAGTCTGCTTTTTTTTGCTAATGCTTTTACATGTGACTGTCACAGTTTAGAGCACTATATACGCAAAGAAAACATACCCATTAATTAAATACATATTTAGTCAATGTTACGCGAGTGGACGTCAGCCCAAATTAGCCACAGAGCCGCGTCTAAGTTCTGTGAACCCCTAAAGTCCGCGGTGCCACTGTGGTCTGCAAAAACAAACTCCTAAAGTTCCAAGGGGACAAAACTCCTCACATTTGCATTTTAGCACGAATGGCGGAGACTTGCGAACTGGCGATAAATGCCTCACTTTTGTAATATATGCGATGACACGTCGGACTTGAGAGCAATTCAAGAGTTCATAGGCGCCTATTGAGTTTGTTGAGCAGCTACATCATGAGACCTCCATTGCCAGTATCAAAATCTAAGAATACATTTGATCCTTTCTGGCAATAAAGCTGCTCACCCCGAGCTCTCCATGGCCTGATAGTGGCATTGTCTTTGTGCCGTTCGCCTTTTGGCGTCCTCTGATCCAACACCGAGACTCGGCTCTAAAGAAAGCTGTCTCTGGTGTGGACCAATCAGTTTCCAAGACGATGCATCATCATATACTACCAGATTCACGTTTTTTGTTTGCATGTTCACCACAAAGTATACGTGGTTAATGCAGACATGATTCCTTGCAAAAAAGGTATCTGTTTGGTGTTTTAACATCTTAACGCCTGTTTTATTGCCAGAAATGGTTAAACCTATTCTTACACCAGCATGTTTTGGGCAATAATCAACAATGTGAGGGATGGATTGCACTTCACCGCAGTCCCTATGGGGTGGCTCAACAAATTCCCCACTTGCAGAGGAGATTCTCAGTCGACTCGTATCAAGACTCGTAGACTCACGTATACGTGTAGCAACTCGTAGACGCATAGAAATCCATGCAATACATAAAGTGAGGCGAGTGGTCGATTGCACTTCACAGGCAACTCCTTAATTCCCCGTTGATAGCGGAGATACCATTTGTTAAGTTAAAGGGACGCGGACACTGTTCCAAACCCGGACGGTGTCACTGTAATTATCAGCTACTCACCTAAGAGCACGTTTCGTTAATTTTGACGGTTATATTTTGCACTGCCTGTGCGGCGCTGTAGTTATAACTTGAAACTGCTAAACACACAGGAGGTATGTAAAAAAAAAACACATTTTCCTGCGGAGGGAGCTGGTAGGAACGTTGGGTTGCTCGGTCAATGGCCAGGGTCAACGGCGGCACCACGTGGTGTATTCCGCAAATATGCCCGACTGTGAGGGCGGGCACAAGCCGGCTTGAGTAGGTTAAACGTTGAGTTTTATAAGGGCACCACGGGGTGACCAGCCCCTCCCCACCCAGCCCCACCCATCCTACCCCCCACCCAGCCCCACCCTCCCCACCCAGCCCCTCCCCACCTTCCCCTCCCCACCCAGCCCCTCCCTCCCCACCCAGCCCCTCCCCACCTTCCCCTCCCCACCCAGCCCCTCCCCACCTTCCCCTCCCCACCCAGCCCCTCCCTCCCCACCCTCCCCTCTCCACCCAGCCCCACCCCTCCCATGTTTGGATGCACGACGGACGGACACAATAATCCCCTGTGGGCTGGTGTAACCAGGAGGTTCCTACCAGTATAATGCTATCATACTTTTTACATTTATTTGTTCAGAGACCTCTCACCTGTAGCACTAAGGTCATTTGGCAATATATAGTTTCGTTTGCCATTAGCGTATCTTTAATACATTGTGAATTCGTTTTCATCTTCGTTTATTTTATTAGGCTCCGGGAGACAAAGGATGAATTTATGGAAACGTATCACGTATTTGGTGTTTCCCTATCAGAGAGGTAAGTATCCTAGTTTTAGCTTCACGCACATTGCACATCTATAGCCAAATTATTTTAACGACGCATGGTCTGTCTGCAATTTAACTTTGGGATCGATTCAAATCCACCCCAGCAGAGGGCATTGGCTGTGACCCGGGTTCATCAAATTAGTGGGTCTAGCAGCTAGCTAGGGGGTAGAGGGTTAGCCTCAAGGGAGAGGATAGGTGGGAAGAAGGTCTGGCGTGCTATCCTCAGAGTGTGGCACGACACATACATTTTGCTTCCCATCCATCCAACAAATAACGTTGAGTTACAGTACAGTATAGTCGTGCACTGCACCATTATCTGTCCTGAATGGATTTTGGTGTTCGGGTCACACCCGGGTTCGCACAAGGACTAGCAATGAAATGACTCAATACTTTCTATGTATGTATGTATGTTGAACTTCTTTCCCACACCTACGTAGCCAGCCGTGCAGAGTCATTCACAACAATGATTTGACCTAAAAAAAATATTTGCGTATGCCAAGTCACGGGAAATGTTTTATTCTTCGCATTGACAACGCCATTCATGTGCATGTTTCAGAGCAAAGGCGTGAAGATGAAGACGATGAATCATTGCCACTGCTCCCAAAAATTGTTTGAAGGGGCAACTTTTGCAGTCAGTACGCGATGCAAATCAAAAACAGTCCCTCACATATTGTAAATGTCCACTCAGCTCTGAAGGTTCACAAAGGACGCATGGGGGAGTAGGGGGGGCATGGTTGCCGTCGGATGCAACACAAAGAGCAACAACTGTTAAGCGTTTCCCGTTGGTGAACCTTCTCCAATGTAGGGGACGTTGAAGTTCTTTCGCATCGATCAGCACGGTAGCCGACCGTGCTCATCGCAGGCGCAGGGGGAAGGATAGCAAACTAAACACAAAAAAACAGTTCTAAAAGACATTAGTTTGTCAATCTGGATTGTTTAAAAGTCCACAGCTCCATTGGCTCCCTAATATCGGAAGGAAGAGCGTTCCAGACGGCCGCGGAGGCGCCTATGAAAGTGCGCGATGTGGTGACCGGCCTTTGTTCGATGGACAGCCAAAAGCTCGTAATAAAGCTTTTTGGGTTAGATCGCGTTATTTATAAATGTGTCGTAACCCTCCACCACCCGACACGGCCAATCAGCAAAAAAAGTGTCACGTTGACAAAAGACAAATAATTCACTACTTTAGCCCACCGGTGTGTTGAAGAGTGAATCCACAACATTTACAGTTTGAGTTCGACGTTTCGCTGGTGATTACATCCAGCATCATCGGGCAATTCGCCAGAATGGTAAAGCCCTCGCTTGCTCCCGGTCTTAAATAGAGCAGCAGGGTGACGTCATCATTTAACTCATTCAGGTGCAGTGATTAGAGGCGAAGGGAGGGGGGTATTGTAATTACATAATCTATTGCTAATCAGTCAATGGTCGTGATTAGTAATGAGTTGTAGATTAGTAATTAGTTGTAATGTGTGTTATTGTGATTACATGCTGCTCCAAGGATCAGAATGGGGCCCCATTTATAACCAGGTACTGAGTGATCACTACTGGTGATACATG